CACTTGACTGCTTCCTTCCCAAGTATGTTATCTGCCAGGTGAATGGGCCCAGCACCAAAGGAGGCTGGGAGAGTTCCAGAACAGAAGTTAGTGATTTAGCAGAAGCTGGGGACCTAAGGGAAGCAGAGACCTGGAAAGGAGGTTGAGGCTGTCTCTCTCCTAATCCCTTTATGCCTCCGTGCTGAAGGAACAGGAACAGCTGGCTAGAGGCCCACTGATCCCAGCCTGCCCTTGGACTGGAATGGAATATGAGAGGAAAGTTTACAATTTGGACAGATAATTTGATAAAGTGTCCAGAATACTATAGGATCTGCCCAAGATGTTATTGCAAGACAAGAGGAAGGAGTCTATGTCAAAAGCAATAATTAAAAAAACAAAACAAAAATTATGAAAGCATGAAGCTTAGTCCTTCAAATGATTGCTATAGCACAGTTTGATCAGGGTTCCTTCTGATCACTTCTCCTTGAGATGAAGAAGGAAAGGAAGTGTCAGTGACCCCCTCAAAGAGGGCACAAAGCTTTCACAGACCAATGAGAAGATTCATGAGCAGGCCGGAAGCCGACGGAAGTAGGCAGGAGGAAATCTTGAGTTAGAACCCATCAAGAGTGGATTAAACCCTAGATTCATTCTCATTGCTTCTGTCCTCGGTAATGCGGGAACCCCGCAGCAGACCCACGAGTTGAATACATATTCACCTTCCCAATCTTCAGAGAGAAAGAGAAAGACCAGGGAAACGGCGAGCAATTGACCTACGTGCTGTTTTGTGCCAAAGAGGGAAGAGAGCAGGTCAGACACACTGTCTGGGGAACATCATACAGTCTCCCCCTTTACCCTGCAACGCTGGCAGAGTTGTTAGTTGTTGTTAGTTGCCTTTGAGTCAGTTCCAACTCACGGTGACCCCCCCCGTACAACAGAATGAAATGTCAGCTCCAATACCACCTTCCGGACTGCTGCCACACTTGAGTCCATTGTTCCCGCCACTGTGTATTTTGAGTGCCTTTCGGAAGTGACACTTTGCAGTTAATTGTTAAGTATTTTATTCCTATAATTTAATAAGCAACTGCTGGTATCACTTCATGCCCAGGATACATTCTGTCAAATAGGATGCCACATGATTTGGACAGAAACCTTACGGGAGGCTGCATCTAGTCGTGTGTATGCTGCAGCTGCAACTGGGGAAAGAAGCAGCAGCAGCAGAGGATAAGGAAGCCAGGATGGAAGGAGTGCAGGACATCGGTCCTGCTTACCCGCCTGCCCACCTGCTATCCTCTGGACAAAACCCCAGAGCCATATGGAATGCCTCTTCTGCTTGTATCCTGCTGCTGCTCCAGTACCGAAAGGGCTTGAATTTGAGGTTTTTCAAGTCAGGAGGAGGAAATAAGAAAAAGGAGAGCTACCTTTCTTTTAAAGAACGAACAAAATAACTTATAGGACCAAAGACATAGATGCGGCAAGACAGACATTGCCTAGGTGAATATTAAGTGCTGCATAATTGTAGTACTATATGGGGAGGTATTTTGAGGCTTTTTTTTGTGTAGAATAGACATTTCTTTTTCTCTTTATTTATATCAATATGGATATACATACTCAGGAACTCTTGTTTTACCCAATGGCTTATAGTCTGCAGTGATCATTAACTACCTTGATGTTCAAATTGTCTCAGATTTGGCAATGAGAGTCCGTTAACAGTGACACTCCCCCCACCCCCATCCCCAATTTGGCATCTCCCCATCATTCTTTGAATGCTTCCTTACTTTCTGGTATATGCGGACTCATCTTACATTCTCCCTACCCCAGCCCTGGAATCAACCATTTCTCCCAAGAAGCTTTGATTTCTTGTAGTAAGAAGTACCACATAAAAACCAAGTTCTGGGTGTTAGGTATGTTAACTGATAGACTGGAGTCTTGTTTCTAGGTTCTCAAAGCAGAGTTAGTCTACCCTTCTCTGTTTTCCTCATTCTATAGTTTCTGGATTTACCTTATCTGATCCGGAGAAGCCTCTCACATTTAGTGAATTTTGTTATTGTCTCAATCCCTCCTGTGTGTAACCAAATTCCCAAGCCTGTGAACCCAAACCTCAGCCCTTATCACACCATCCCTTTTCCCAAACCACTCCAGTTCCCGGTGCTGGGTGCACCGGTGGAGAGGGCAGGCCTGGTGAAGTCAGTGACCAAAGAGGGACTTGGCAAGATGGCCAGTTAGAAAGTTCCACCCAGAATACTCTCCTCTCCCCCATCATCTCTCCCGGCCAAAGTGAGCAAGAAAGGCTCAGCTTTATTCCAGGGGGTAGCGAAGGAAGTCATTTTGTTTTAGTCTAAAACAATAAGGAAGATTCCACAAGTGGTTTTATTCCTTATAAATGATTTATTATGGAAATCGGAGTATCTTTACAAAGCAAAGTTTCCCCTTATTACAGAACCCATGCATTTCAAGAGATAGGCAAAACAAAAGAGTAACAATCACAGATCATGTTTGCTATGCATAGAGAATCACAACTTTTGGGTGTGTCTTTTTCTCCACCCCTCACAACCCTTTTGAAAAAATGTCAGCTGTTTGAGAAAAGGTACATGAAGAGTGCAGTGCCCATTTGTAACTATCTATCTGGATTCACCAAGTGTTAATATTAGGGCACATTTTATCATATGCATATACAGACATCTATATCACACTTTTTTCCCCATTTAACTATTTTGAGAGTCAGTTGTATGCAGTCCAGTACTTCTGAAAGCTTTAGCATATACTCAACGCAAACTCACTGCCCCGTTTCTGAGACTGTAACACTTTACAGGAGCAGAAAGCCTCATCTTTCTCCCTCAGGGAGGCTGGTAGCTTCAAACTGCTGTCCTTGTGGTGAACAGCCTAATACAAAGTCCACTCTACCACCGAGGCTCCTTAGCATAACTCCAACTCCACACCAAACCCTGCCATAAAGCAGCCACTTTTGACTCCTCTAAAGAGTTCAGTCTCAGACACTCTCAGGGGGCACGTCTACCCTGTCTTATAGGGTGGCTAGGAGGCAGCATATACTAGTGTTTCCCCAAACTAGAACATTCTCTTACTAACCACTGCATACGTTTTACATTCTGAAAATTTAACATCCATACAGTACTCTAATATACTCATAGAGTCCATATTTTATTTCCCCCAATTGTCAAAAGAATGTCCTTTGCCTCATCACTGATCATGTTAAGTTTAAGCACTTGGGTAATATGGCAAATTCCATTTTTCCTTTTAGTATACAAATTGCCTCAAAATTGGTCAATTGGTCCTTCCAACCCGGCTCCAATGCCCTTTAACTGTGTCTCCATGCATTTTTTACACAGTTATGCCACAAGGTGCTCCAGATTTCTCTCCTCTCGGCCCCGCCCTAGAATCAGCCCATGTCCCGGCTCATTTCAGTGCGAAACGGCTTTTCAAACTAAGGTCTGACTCCTAGGTGGACATACTGCCAGTCCAGTGTCATTGCTTCTAGACATTTTTACAGCTAGGGGGATAAAAAGTACATCAAATATATGAAAGCCATAAACTATAGTGCTACCTCGGATTCCGATTCAAGGTTTCTCCTCTCTATGACCCCTCAC